TAGGCAAGCTGGAAATCACATCTCCAGCATAGGCATACCCTAAGGCCTTATGCCACTGGCACATTGTAAAGGGGTCCAAACAGGTGTTTACACGGTGACTCGCCACCACAATATATTTTCCTCTCTATGGAGCAAACAGGAGGCAGAACTAAATGACAGGGATACTCAGGTGTTTTTTTAATCACATGACCCTTCTTCACCTCATGTCACGTGACTGGGCTTAGGAAATATGGGGCCTGTTTCTCATTTACATTTCTGGTACATCTAGACAGCAAATGAGGATGCAATTGTAGCATGTGTGAGCATACCCATGCTAGCTTTAATATAGCCAGTGTGGGAAACAATAGTAGTGACCATGTGGCGGCAGGGGCTTCAGTGCAGGCTAGCCATCCCCGTACGAGCCCGCTGGGTATGTAGTCGGGTTGTTAGCCCACATGGATGTCTGTGCTGCCACGTCTTCACTACTAGAGAGACCCGTGCTAGCTAGATTAAAGCTAGCATGGCTATGTCTACCCTTGCTACAATCACACCTTCACTTGCAGTGCAAAGAAAGAAGCAGGCTGGCAAGGAGAAGAGTATAATAGAATAGGGAGGGTAAATTGTGCACCTTAATCTGGAGGGTGATTCTCAAGGAGAGACAACACATCATCTATTTTAGGTACTTATGTGGCCTCCATCACCATAGTACCCGAGCACCTCTCAATCTTTAATGCATTTATCCTCACCACACCCCTATAAGCAGGGCCGGCTCTGGCTTTTTTGCCGCCCTAGGCAAAAAAGCCAGTGGCCGCCCCCCCCCCCTTGGAGCAGGGGCTCTCCGCTCTCCCCCCCGGCGGCCAGAGCGCCGGGGGAAGGGCGGAGAGCCTCCGGCGGCCAGAGCGCCGGGAGGAGGGCGGCAAGCCCGGCCGGGGCTCTCCGCTCTCCCCCCCGCCCCCCGGCAGCCAGAGCGCCGGGAGCAGGGCGGAGAGCCCCCGGCGGCCAGAGCACCGGGGGAGGGCGGCGAGCCCGATCGCGGCGCCGCTCTCGGGCCAGAGCGCCCCCCTGTGCCGCCCCCCTCCAGGCGCCGCCCCAAGCACATGCTTGGGTGCCTGGTGCCTGGAGCCGGCCCTGCCTATAAGGTATTATCCGCATTTTACAGATGGAGAATTGAGGCACAGAGAGGCTATGGCCCAGATTTTTAAAGGTAATTGGGTGTTGCGATGCTCAGCATTGCAACACCTAACTGATTTAGGAGCCTAAATCTCATTTTCAAAAGGCATTTAGGCCGTTAGGAACCAAAATCCCATTGAGAGTCAATGGGATTTAAACTTCTGGGCCGTTAAAAATCTGGGCCTAAGTGACTTGCGCAGGGTCACACTAGAAATCTGTGGAGGAGCAGGGAATTTAACCAGGTCTCCAGTCCTAGGATAATGCCCTAACTACTGAACCATCCTGCCTTCTAATGTATTTAGAATTTCTAAAGGCTTTTGGATTAAGTGCCTCATGTGATGCTATTGGGAGCCTTTATATCTGAAGGCTGAGAAGTCCTGTTACAAAATAAAAAGTGGTACTCTCAATCAAGGGTCTGAATGTGCTTTCCAAAAGATAGTTCATTACCTGAGCTGCTCAGGAAGTGATTCCTCTCCCTCAGGGAAAAAAAGGAAGCAAAAAAGAATATTTCTTATTTTTGTCCAAAAAATCTTTAAAACAATTTTTTAAACAAATTTTTTTTGTGAAAATTTTCATTTTGTTGAGAAGCCATTTTTCATCCAAGAAATAAAAAATATGGAGGAAAGATCTTCATCCAGCTCTATTAATTATCATAATCCCCTTTTTTCGATGGGGGCATAAGTGGCATAGCAAATGGTTGGATTGCCCAATGTTAGTGGCAATGGTCACTACAAAACCCAGGTCTCCTGACTCAGAATCCTCTGCTGTAACCACGAGACCACATTGCAGTCAGCGGGGGTCATATCCTGAGCTGGTGTAAAGATTTGGCCCAGGAAGAACAACATAATCAACTGAAATCATAGCGGTAGAATGTAATTCCCCAGGGACAGTGGGGTTAGTTCTGCTACTCCTGTGAAAAGTGCCATGGACTCTTCAGGGATGAGTGGTGAGGACTTGGGCTGGACATGTGCAGAACCACAGTGCTGGGGAATTAGTATAGTGTTGATTTAAAGGGTAGAGCGCCAGCTGCTTCCGTTATACAAGGCACTGGTGAGACCTCATTTGGAGTACTGTGTGCAGTTCTGGTCTCCTATGTTTAAAAAGGATGAACTCAAACTGGAACGGGTACAGAGAAGGGCCACTAGGATGATCCGAGGAATGGAAAACCTTTCCTATGAAAGGAGACTCGAGGAGCTCGGATTGTTTAGCCTAACCAAAAGAAGGCTGAGGGGAGATATGATTGCTCTCTTTAAATATATCAGAGGGATAAATACCAGGGAGGGAGAGGAATTATTTCAGCTCAGTACTAATGTGGACACGAGAACAAATGGATATAAACTGGCCGTGGGGAAGTTTAGGCTTGAAATTAGACAAAGGTTTCTAACCATCAGAGGGGTGAAATTTTGGAACAGTCTTCCGAGGGAAACGGTGGGGGCAAAAGACCTCTCTGGCTTCAAGATTAGGCTAGATAAGTTTATGGAGGGAATGGTTTGATGGGATAACGTGATTTTAGTCAATTAGGCAATAACATGCCATCGCTGGTAAAATGCGGGTCCGGCTGGAGAATCTTGCCTGTATGCTCGGGGTTCTACTGATCGCCATATTTGGGGTCGGGAAGGAATTTTCCTCCAGGGTAGATTGGCAGAGGCCCTGGAGGTTTTTCGCCTTTCTCCGCAGCATGGGGCAGGGGTCGCAAGCTGGAGGATTCTCTGCGACTTGAAGTCTTTAAATCACGATCTGGAGACTTCAACAGCTGAGTTAAGGGAAAGTGGGTGGGTCAGCTTTTGTGGCCTGCATCATGCGGGAGGTCAGACTAGATGACCATAATGGTCCCTTCTGACCTTAAAGTCTATGAGTCTATGAGCTGCTACATTAACAACGAACACCACTCAGGTCTCTTATCTACCTAGACTATGTATCCTTATCCTACATTCATCATTGTAGTATCTGAGTACCTTACAAGCTCTAAGGGCTTGCGTGCATTGGATCTGGAGGTATAATTTCCAGTCAGGGTAGACATACCCACACTAGCGTGCTAATAATAGGAGTGTAGCTGTGGCAGCGTGAGTGGCAGACAGGCTAGGTGCCCAAGTATGCATCTAGGGTTTCAGATGGGATCGTACTTGGGGCAGCTAGTCTGTCTCACTGCACCGCTGTGGCTACACTGCTGTTTTTAGCATGCTAGCTCAATCAGAACCAGTGCAGGGATGTCCACCTGAGGTGGAAATTACACCTGCAGTTCCACTATAGACATGCTCAAAGAGTTAATACATTAACTGAATTCTATGCACCCCACGGTCAGTAGGTTTTTGTCTTGGGTTTGTCTATGGTGTCAGGTCAGAGAAATGGGTTTTACGTTTCTGTCTGGAGGTGGTGGGAATCATAGGAACGCTAAGCGCTACCGGGAGTGAAGCCACCGGTGATTTACCAAAAAAGCTTTGTCTCCCACAAACACAAAGGCTCACCCTTGAGGGTGACATATCCTTTACTCCAGCAGCTTAGTCCCTTGCTGTAGCGGGAATTCATAATCATGTAGAGTGAGGAAAGACCCTCAGGGAGCTAGGACCAGTCCCAGAAATAGCTTTGAAGATGAGAACTACAAACTCTGTTCTCAATGCTGAGCATAGGAGCTGCTGTGAGCTTAGCTGGGTAAGGAGACTCTGTGTACTGACCTAGCCTAACCCTGCTTAGCTAGTGAGGTCTGATGGGAACCCCCATGCAAGGTGCTTTAGCACCTTATGGCAAGAGAAGGAAAGTTTATACAACAGCAGGGGACTTGATTTGATGACACAGAAGGCACCTTCCACTCCTATGTTTCTATGAAGCAGGGACATGAAAGGCTACATACATCCTAATGGTGTCAGCAAGAAAAAGACAACTGAAATAGAATTCCAGAAATTAATCTATTGTAAAGTTTTTTTTGTTAATTAAATAAATCAGCGTATTTAATCCTGCGGCTTGGCAGGGGGTCAGACTAGATGACCCTTGCGGTCCCTCCTAACCCTATGATTCTATCATTCTAGTACACGTATAAACAGTATGGCTGCTGATTCAATGGTAGCTCAACCTGTATGACCATGAAATGCTGGCTCCAATATGAATAGTATTATATGAAACTGAAAGTTCATTAAATTAACATGGAAAATGAATTAGACTGAACTGAAGTGAGTTTGCCAGTGATAGGTGTAATCAGCCATTACCTTCAGAACAATCCACACTTGGGGAGCAATTCGGGAAAAAAGTTGTAAGAACATTCTCCTTGTTTTGAATTTAATGTAATTCAAACTTTTTTCTTTAATCCTCCATTACCTGTGATGCTCTCTTAATTGTCTAAAAATATCTGGTGGAGACCAGAAATCTGGGTTTAATTCCCAATTCTGCCATAAACTCTGTGACCTTGGGCAAGTCATTTAGGCCAAAAGTGTCCACTAGTTTTGGTTACCTCAGTTTCAGGGCCCATCTTGAGATACACAGAGGCCTGGTTTTCATTTACACTAAGGCCCATTTACACCACTCTGAAGGGCTGTACAATTGGCATACATTACAACTACATCTACTTTAAGGCTCCTTTGCACTGCCAGAGTTATGTGAAGGGACTGTAGAATAAATGAGAATCGGGTTTTTAAGGTCCAACCTTCCCCTTGGACAAGCTCGGATTTTACAGATATAGAAACCAAGATAATAAGGGTAAGTGATTTGCCTAGGACCATAGAGAGAGGCCATTGCAGAGCTGGGATTAATTTTAGCCTTCCTTAGTTCCACAACTGAGCCCAGACCTGATACCTCTTCCCAATATGGAACATAAAAGCCCAGCCCAGACCTAATCTTGCAAAGATGTACTTGCTACTTACAAACCAATAGACATACGGTGAAAAATAACGTTCCTTCCACAAACACTCCCCCTAGCAGCGTGACTGAAGTTAGCACTGGCCACGCAGGAAGCTGCAAGTGTGTCCATAGAAGCAAGAAGGTGACTTCCCTCCTGTCCTGTGAGGGACCCATCCAGATCTCCGAGGATGGCCGAATGGGGAAACGGGAATGATGCCTGGTTGGGTGAATTCAGGAATGCCAACTGTTCAGCTCTCACTGTAAATCCACCTGGGGAAACAAGCAACCATTCAGAATTGCAACATCACACCTTTGTCTGACTGGGTGCAGGGGCACTACCTACCTTCCCCTCCCCCTCCGTCCCCCGGTGAACAAGGGGTTAACCTCAACTCAGCTTCCTGTCAGATAAATGGCTGCTTGGGACAGAAAGGGGAACCTGCAGACCTCCACACCCTGGGTCTGTTGCGTGGTTGGTCACATACGTCACATGTTATTGGTTCTACCGACTGACTAGATAATTAAATATTTTAAACAGAAGAATCATAACCAGACGGGACGCATGGTCATAGGAATGGCCTTACTGCATAGACCCAAGAGCCACCTAGTCCAGTATCCTACCTCTGACAGGTCTTTTGGTTTGAGCACTGGATTCAGACGCAGCAGTAACAGTAGGTTGGCCCCAAACTAAAATAATCAAATAGGCTCATAACTCCCCCCGCACCCGGTCCAGGGCCCAAAGCAAACCAAACATAGCATTTTTGTTCACTAATCACTGTTTGTTAATATAGGACCGTCCTATTGCACAGCTGAAGTTACTTTGCGGGCAGATTTTGCCCCCCTGGTGCCATTTGATCTCCATTGCTGAAGTATTTTTCACCATTTTTGCAGGAAAGTGTATGTTTTTAATATAGTTTATAATTACACATACACACACATTTAACAGGTAATTGCGGTTGGAACTTTCTTCAAAGAGCCTTTGGGTAGCTCTTGAAAACTCAGACGAATTCTTTGTTTCCAAACATTATCTCAGGCAAATTCACTGAAGATTTAGGGTGGCCTGACGTACAACCTCATTGAAATTCTATGAAGATGTGTTGTAGTGATTACAGAATATACCACTATGTTGAAGTATTACCCCCCGAAAAAGGAATATTAACAAATGAACGTGTTAATTCCTATCCCTGCGTCCCAATGGGGCTTCTGAATAATTGTCCCAAACTCAGAGAAATAGGAAAATTAAATCATGGTTGGGGGGAGGGAACATCTTCGTCTCAAATCTATGCAGCATTCATGGCTGTCAGTTTACCAGCCTGGCTCTTCCAGGTAGAGAATCCATGTGCAGCATCTGCACCCAGAGCCCCAGACATGGGTGAGCAAACTGCAGTAAGGGACTGGCAAAGCAGAAAAAAGGCTGTAAGGAGACTCCCGTGCTTCAGCCCACCAGTGATATCAGAACACTGAGGACTACTTTCAAAAACATCCTAATGAACACCTATTTGTCCAAGGGGTGGAGTTATAATGCTCCCACCTAAAATTATGGCCCAGAGATGGCCCAGGTTAGCAGACATGTGTTGCTTTGCAGGCAGGGGTGAAAGTATGTGTGTATGTGTATATATATATATATATATATATATATATATTGCCAGCAGTATAAGCTCTCAATCGACAAAGCTTAATTCTGGGCCATTGGGGGAGGAATAGCTCAGTGGTTTGAGCATTGGCCTGCTAAACCCAGGGTTGTCAGTTCAATCCTTGAGGGGGCCATTTAGGGAACTGGAGTAAAAATCTGTCTGGGGATTGGTCCTGCTTTGAGCAGGGGGTTGGACTAGATGATCTCCTGAGGTCCCTTCCAACCCTGATATTCTGTGATTCTGTGAATTTAAAGGACTTACCGGTATCCCGGAGTCCTGAGCGGGGGCGTGGCCTCAACCGGAAGAGGCGTGGCCTCAACCAGAAGAGGTGGGGCTTTTCAAGATTTAAAGGCCCTGGGGCTCTGGCTGTGGGAGGCGGCTGGGAGCCTCAGGGCTCAGGGGCAAATTAAAGGGCCCAGGGTTCCCCGCAGTGGCCGGAGCTCCAGGCCCTTTAAATCCCCACCCTAGCCCGGCTGCCAGAGCTTTGGCGGGGATTTAAAGGGCCCGTGGATCCCCGCAGCAGCTGGAGCTCTGGGCCCTTTAAATCACCGCCGCGGAAGCCGGTCCAGTTCGGCACAGCAGACTGGCTCTTGCCAGTACATCGTACCAGACCGTACCAGCTTACTTTCACCTCTGTTTGCAGGACAACTACATAATTTTTTTCTATGACCCTCCTTCCCACAGCATCTGAGCACCTCCAAATTTTAATGGGTTTATCCTCACAACACCACTCTGAGGCCTGGTCTACACTACGACTTTAATTCGGATTTAGCTGCGTTAATCCGAATTAACCCTTCACCCGTCCACACTACAGAGCCAGTTAATTCGAATTAAAGGGCACTTAAAATCGATTTCTGTACTCCACCTCGACGAGCGGAGTAGCGCCTAAATCGATTTTGTTAATTCGAATTAGGGTTAGTGTGGCCGCACACCACCGAATTACTGTGTTTAAATTAATGGGGTAGTGTGGCCGCACACCACCGAATTACTGTGTTTAAATTAATGGGGTAGTGTGGCCGCACACCACCGAATTAATGTGGTTAAAAACCGAATTAATGTGCTTAGTGTGGCCGCGCACAATCGAATTTATACAACCTGTTTCCCAAATTCGAATTATCTAAATTCGGATTAATCCCGTAGTGTAGACATACCCAGAGACAGGGAGGGGGGGAAACTGAGGTACAAAGAGACTAGGTAACTTGTCTAAAGTCATACAGGAAGTCTGTGGAAAGGCAAAGAATTAAACCCAGGTCTCCCGAGTCCCACGGTAGTGCCCTCGTCAGTGGATCATCCTTCCTCCAGGATACAGCTACCAAACTCTAGAGATGCCTCTCGGTGAAGGAAATAAAATCACAAAGGCAATACCAAACTTTACAGAACTCAAGGATTTTTCAGACTCTGCTATGTCAGCGTGTCAGTGTAAATGTAACTTACCCTGGCCTTGGTAACAGCCAGAACAGGTGCTGATTGCAGTGCAGGTGCTAATATCGAAGTTCATGAAAGATGTATTGGAAACCAACAGTTCGTGCCTTTGGGGCGTTTTCAGCCCTGCTGACATACAGCTACTGTCCTGCAAGATGAAAGTAAAGAGCACAGCCGAACACGTCAGCATTTGGGTCTCCCGAGTGAAATAAGCTCAGGGTCCAGATCCTCAGCTGCTGCAAATTAACGTAGCTCCTTTGAAGTCCACAAAGCTGGGACCAATTTACACCATCTGAGGATCTGATCCAGGCAAAACTTGAGAGCACACAAAGGATGGGAAATCAGACAGCAAATAAATCATAGACTATCATGGCTGAAAGGGACCTCAGGAGGTTCTAGTCCAACCCCCTGCTCAAAGCAGGACCAATCCCCAGACAGATTTTTGCCCCAGATCCCTAAATGGCCCCCTCAAGGATTGAACTCACAGCCCTGGGTGTAGCAGGCCAATGCTCAAACCACTGAGCTATCCCTTCCCCCACCCCCTCAATATGGAGAAAGAAGAAAAGATAAGGGTGAAAAAACAAACAAACAAAAAACATAGGCAAAGAAGCAAAAAACACAACCAGAAAGAGAAAATGGACAGGAACAAGATGACAGTAGCCCTTCCAGGACATAGCACAAGGAGACATGGGGATGGCGGGTCCCATCTGCTAGTCCATGTGCTGCTGCTGGGAGCAATCGTATGCACAGAGATGGTGTGGAGAGTGGAAGAGGAGCTGGCATGACCCCATCTGCTGATGTTGGTTTGGGGCCCACCCACTATCTTGGAAAGACCCTCGTCAGCAGAAAGCACAACCAAAACCCTACACAAATATTGTATCAAGGAAATTTAAACACATGAATCAAAAATGCAATTTAAAGGTACTCTATCAGCAACAGGATTTTTTTTAATTAGCTGGTTTAATACCATTAAAGATGGCATTGTCCCTTTAAGAGACAGGGGCTCTGCCATTTCCCTTGAGTCCTCCCCAAGGAGAGAAGTTGGAGATTCTCTAGGTGAAGAACTTGGTTCCAAGTCAGTACAGAGCTAATGCCTCAACATGGGGTTCCACAGACCAGACAGATTTCGCTCTTAGAATGTTTTTTTTCCTACCTACTTTTTTGATTTATTCATGTCCATCCCATCGCCCCTAATTATATCCCTTTGCTTCACATTGCACCAGCTGTTTCCTTCCTTAATGTTTTCACCCTTCAAATATTTTTAGAAGACTGTTTCACTCTTTCCTCCTCCCCAAACGTGCATCACCTGCCTTGGACAATCTGTCTTTATCAGGGTTAACGCTTTCTTTTACATGCAATGCATATGCATCTGGTTCACTCACTGAAAGAAGTAAAGGCCCTGATCCAAAGCCCACTGAAGTAAACAGGAACCTTTTTATGGACTTCCGTCAGCTTTTGCTCAGGCCCAGATACCACAGCACTAAAGGACTGAGGACCTGTCAGGGTTCCCTCCCCACTCTGAACTTTATCTGTATGTTTATGACAGGACCCAATTTCAATTTTCCTAATATTTCAAAAAAAATTAATAATCTGCTTAAAGGCAGCTTTTAAAAAAACAAAAACGCTGGCAGAGCAGAATAGCCAATGTTCCTGTTAAATTCATGTCACAAAGTTTTAATTGATGTTAAAGAGACATCATTATTAAAGGGAGAATTACATAAATTAAGATGTAAATTATGACAAGGCAACTCTTATCGTGAGATAATCAAAGATAATCACACCCTTGGGGGGCAGTGAGGAACAACGCACAGCTGAGCGCCTCAACATCTCTTAACAAGTAAAGCACTGGAGTTCTCCCATGGATCCGGTAACAACACAAACAAAGAGAGCCATCCCTTCAAGTCTGAGAGCAATTCACTGTGCAGCTAGAACACTGGAAGATTACTTGTTGGGGGCCGTAGCTTTACTTGAGCTCTGTACTCCTTTATGGATCAATCCACTACATTAAAATACTGTCTTCCCCAGGCTTATAAATTAGCCTTTTAAAAAAATATATCCATCAGCCAATCAGATTGGCAATGTACCCCAAGCAATTCAGTAAGCTGCATTAGAAACCAGAGCAGAAAAATGTGAAAAAGAAAGCTGTGGGCAGCTGTTGCTAAGATTCTATTATTAATTAAACGGTTTGCATTCCAGTACCACCCAGAAGACTCAGTCAGAATGGGAACCTTATTGTGCAAGATGCTGCACAAGCACATAGTGAAGATTGAATTTACTGTCATGAATTCAATTTACTGTCATAAATAATAACAGTTAGCACTTGATCGTATTTTTCAAAGATGACTTAATTCTCAGAATTGGAATGAAGAGCTGAAACTTCCCACAGAAAATAATTCAGAAGACTGTTGATTTGAGACCATCAAAACATTTCATTTGAATGTTTTACAGAGTGAGGAATCGACAGAAAGGTTAAAAATATTTCCCAAAAGATCACAAGGTGTATCAGTGTCACGACTGGAATTGTGTACCCGACTCCCAGACTTGTGCTCAGGCCATTAGACTAAATTTTTCGTGACACCTGGTTATATGCTGGCCGGGCGTTTTTGTAAAAGGTTAAAATTCATGATGGTAAGAGCTGGCCAAAATATTATCAACAGAACAGTTTTCTATCAACAACTACATTTAGTTTAAATCTAAATGTTTCATGGGAATGTGTCAATTTTTGACAAAAAAAAATTAATGGAAAAAAATCAAAATATTTCACTTCAGCAGTGTCAAAATCTGTCATTTTTGATACTGTTAAGTGTTTCATTTCAAAAGTGTCATTTCAATTCCTTCCGTTTAGTCTGTTACACTCTATTATAATATTAATTTCAATATAATATTTAATATTATGCATATATAGCCTATGTTTAAAAACTTAAACAAATATCAAATGAAATGTTTCGATGGTCTCAAATCAACACTCTTCTGAATTTTTTTCTGTGGGAAATTTCAGTTTTTCATTCCAAATTGGACTTTTAAAAAAAATTGGACTTGCCCACAGACTGGAAATTCTGTCTCTGGCTCAGTTTTACTTTTTGTGTCTGGACAGAGCTTGTACTTGGATATACAGTATAACCTGTAGAACCTGGTATGTGAAAAGTGACATTATAACCAGTTTTTATAACCTTATTGTACTTCCCTCTACTACCATCCTAAAATAGAGGCAGCTAATATTATGAAGCCACTGACTTTGAAGGGTAATGTTGCTGGCACACTTCCCTCTCATTCAGTACGGAATCAATGCTCTTGCATGGTGTTATGGGCACTGTACTGCTAGAGTGCTGTTTTTCAGGTGGAATGGAAGAAACGTAGGCCCTTATTATTCAAGATATGGAGCAGGGGTAGGCAACCTATAGCACGCGTGCCAAAGGCGGCACGCAAACTGATTTTCAGTGGCACTCACACTGCCCAGGTCCTGGCCACCGGTCCGGGGGGCTCTGCATTTTAATTTAATTTTAAATGAAGTTTCTTATACATTTTAAAAACCTTTTTTACTTTACATACAACAATAGTTTAGTTATATATTATAGACTTATAGAAAGAGACCTTCTAAAAACATTAAAATGTATTACTGACACGTGAAACCTTAAATTAGAATGAATAAATGAAGACTCGGCACACCACTTTTGAAAGGTTGCCGACCCCTGGTATGGAGGTTTCTCAAAGCTCAGAGCTTAAGTGAAGCTGGCACTGAGAAAACAGCTAAATCTCTTCTGGAGAAGTTGGCTTTTGTATTTCCTTCTATTGGGTCTGATACTAGTCTGTAAGAAGGACCTTTTTACAATAGTGTGGGCTGAAAAAACAGAATGAAAACAGCTACTGGAGTTCTTACCTTTTGACCAAGGTGTCCAAGTAATAAGCTGTTAGCAACAGTGGTGTTTCCAAGGCTTTCTACGATGTCAATTCCAAAATCTTTGCAAGCATAGATCTGGAAATTTCGGAGTTCCAGGTTGCGGCTACTAAAAATCTATTTAAAATAATAATAAATTCAGAAAAGTTCTGTGGTTCATTATTAGCCTTTCACCATTGTGTAGCAGAAGGGGGAGATTGTCAAAGGCACAAATAGAAGTCGAGCATCTAATTTTTCTTTGAAAATCTCACCCTTAATTCTTTACTCCTGTTTGCAAGGATTCAGAAAAATAGCTTTGAACTCTTACAAGTTATTTCCATGTTGATACAAAAACTGCACTGGAAAAAATGAGACTAAATAGTCAGCAATATCCAGGGTTGAAAATGCTGTAAATACTATTTTTGTAATTACTGGAGAGAGCAATAGCTAAAGAAGACAAGGGGAAAAAAGATGTATTATAAAGTGGCATTCCTTGAACATAATCAAGGTATTGTTTACAACCACATGATTATGGGAAGATAGCTATCGGTGGGTAGCACATTCAGGGAAAACAGACTAAACTTCATTATTATGATGCGATGGGGCAATAAGGTACAAAGAATAATAAATTGGTTGGTTTGGCAGCCTGGCTATCGGAGTCAGCATGACGGATAAAAGGTGACCAAAATTGGAAAACACTGGTCAACTTTATGTTGTTTCATACAAGTAACCTTTTCCAGAACCAGCAAATTCCATTCTAGGATGTTGAAAAATTCAACAGTGTACAGAGAAGAGCCACAGAAAGGATTTGAGACTAGAAACATGTCTTACAGGGACTTTAGGAGCTCAATCCCTTTAGTTTATGAAAGAGACAGTTAAGAGATGACTTGATCACAGCCTATAAGTACCTACATGGGAAGAAGGTATTAGGTACTATAGGGCTCTTTAGTCTAGCAGACAAAGGCATACCTAGATTCAATGACTGGCAACTGAAGCTAGACAAATTCAGACTAGACATAAATGCACATTTTTTCACAGTGAGGGTAATTAACCATTGAAAGAATTAACCAAAGCATGGTGGTGGATTCTCCATTATTTAGAATCTTAAAAATGAGTTTGAATGTCCTTCCAAAAAGTCTGATCTAGTTCCACCACAAGATATTGGGGCTGATGCAGGAATTACGCTGGAAGTCAGACTAGATCAGTGGTTTTCAACTTGTGGTCCAGACTATGTCTAAGATTTCCAAGGGGGTCCACACCACCACTCAACATTTTTTAGGGGTCCACAAATGAAAAAAAAGGTTGAAAACCACTGAACTGGATGATCACAGTGGTCTCTTCTGCAGTACCAATTGATCAAAGTGGGTACAGAGAGAGCTGCACCTTTGAGGATTACACTGAAGTGTCCTGAACTACCAAAATACAATTACAACAAATTATACCTGAGCACCGCCTTGATTTCTCCAGGCTGTGAAGCTCTGGAACAGAACTGGGCCCAGGCCATCTGCACGTTTGGGCTGGTATTCTGGATACACCAGGAGACCGTACCTGGTTAAGAAGAAAAATGAAGGAAGAGAATGCTCAACTTTCTTTCTGTATATTTATTTATGTGTAGGCTTTTCTATGATACTTATCATGATATCTTAGTGCCCAAGCCCGCACTAGTTCTCTGCATAGGCACACACACACACACACACACATATATATATAAACAATCCTTGTCCAGAAGTAGTTCTCTAAAACCCATGCCATTTCTCTTGCAAATGCCTTCAGAATTCGCCACAAGAGGGCTAATGCTCAGGTTGAGACAAGACAGCTATGTACTCTTACCATCCGTCTATCAAACTTTGGCCAACTTTGCTGCCTCTGAACTAATTGGATCGAGACATAAAGTCCCTTCCTATTTGGAATTCAACAATGTAAGGGTAAGTTTTGATTCCAACAGCCTGCTAGAACCTCCTATGTTTGGTACTACAGAAATAATAATTATATTGCAATATCATATATGTAGATAGCATATCTACCGGTAGTACCCTATGGGATCTCAAAGTACTTACACTCCAATCCAGCAAAGAACTTAATCACATGCTTAGTTTTAAATATGTGAATAATTCCAGTTCTATTCAATAAAGCACTTAATCACCTGCTTAACTTCAAGCCTGTGAGTAATCCCATCCTTATTCATCAAAACACTTAAGCAGGTGCTTATGTGCTTAACTTTAAGGACATGCTTATATTTAAGCAGGTGATTAAGTGCTTTGCTAATTTAATACCTTAAATCTACAGGGATCACTTCATCTGCTACTGAAATGCAGCACCTCTGGGGTGAAATGCATCATCTGTTAACACTACACATGAAGACTACACAATAGTTTAGGACGACTAGAAGCGAAAAAGGATGTATCTAATTGAAACTTGAAATGGAAACTATTTACAGATAATCCATGAGAAATAAACCAAACTGAATCATTATCAGATGACTTCATTCTGCTGTGGAGAGATCCTATTATAGATCAGAGAAGATTTTAAATGAACACAAAGCTCTGAAGCTATATTTAAAGGGACAGAGCCTAATTATCTATTGCAATTATAACCCATGTTATGGGGGAAAAATCCTTAATCAGTTCATGCTATAGAAAAAAAAATCTTTAACCAAAGGGAATCCCCAAATACCTTGTGCAGGAATGGGCTGTGTTCTTACTGAAGGCGAGAAGAGGAGTTTGTGATGGTCCCTCAGGCGAGAGATGAAAGAAATAGCCATAACCAGCGGCACACACTGTATTAGCCTGCAGACAAGCATGCACTACAGTTAGAAAAGATTCCTGGCAATTAAAAGCTTTATTTTTAAAATCATTTTGGGCCAAGCCCTCTACTCCTACACCCTTAACTCACATATTTCTCCTAAGTGCTATATAAGAGCTAAGTATTTATTTATTATTATTAATTAATTATTATTGAAGTCAGTGCAAATTCTGCCAAGTCTGGACTACAGCATCCTCACTCCTGCTTTCTTTCTCACCCAGGGCCACCCTCCACCCTCAAGCCGTGCACTAGTATTTGGCAGACAAGCAGGCATATCACATAGCACCACTTGATTTCCATTCTGATCTGCAATTTCCACAACAGGCAGGTACGCAAAACTTCAGGTTGGCTAAAATTTCTTGTTCACTGAACATTATTTTGTACATAAGTGGGCTGTTTAAATCTTGGTCTACCAATTTCTCTCTCTCTCAACATGTATATTTTTCCATGCAAAAACAAACAAACAAACTAGAGTTGATGCAACGCTAGAGTTGAGATATTGAGCAGAACATGCGGAGTGAAAGTTTAACGGACGAGTGATATGTCAATGGTTGGAAGCTGAAGCTAAACACATTCAAACTAGAGATAACGGGCAGTTTTTTAACAAGTATCAGAGGGGTAGCCGTGTTAGTCTGGATCTGTAAAAAGCGACAAAGAGTCCTGTGGCACCTTATAGACTAACAGACATATTGGAGCATAAGCTTTCGTGGGTGAATACCCACTTCGTCAGATGAGGGTTATTAACTATTGGAAGAAGTGACTTAAGGACACGGTGGATTCTCCATCACTCAAAGTCTTTAAATCAAGACTGGGTATCTTTCTAAAAGATATGCTACAGCTCAAAATAGAAGATCTGGGCTTGATGTAGAAATTGTTGGCTGAGGTTCTCTGGTCTGTGCTATGTAGGAGGTCAGACTAGATGTCATAATGGTCCCTTCTGGCCTTAAAGTTCTGAGTTTATGAATTAAGTGAGTAGGGAGTGGATTATGCAGGGATATAAGCAATGGGATAAGGAACTTTTCAACACCAGCAGTGAAATCCTATCCCAGTGAAGCCAATGGGAGTTTTGCAATTGACTTCAAAGGGGACAGGAGTTTACCCTAATCAGAATTCATATCTGCCCTGTGTTGGCAGTGGCCAAAATTCGTTGTCATTAGATGGTGTCAATCGTCGTGGTGTTTTTATGTGGACACTTTTCCACTAGGACCTCCAACTCACTTTGCAAAGGTCACCGGTAAGCTTTTAAATGGTAATGAGTAATGACCCTAATCAAAGCCACACCAGTGACCCAGAGGTGAAAGGCTCCATATTCCATTGCCAGTCTCCTGACCCTGTTAGTTCCCTGCAGTCGTGATCTCTGACATCTTTCAAAAATCAAAAGGATATCAATGTCCAAAGCATTGCCTTATCTCCCGTCTTGCAGAGCTGCAACAGTTTAGAACATGCTACCCAATACAGATCCCTTTCCCTTAAAAAAATGCTTCTGCAGTCAAGTCACAGTATTCCAGGATCTTTTACTTGCAGTTGCAATTGTGCATTCCACAGAAGATTCACAAGGGAAAACGGTACATTTATTCAGGCAGCCAGTGGCTTGAAGGCAGCGGTTTTAAGCAGGAAGGGAATTTTGTGTGGAAATCAATTTTTTGTGAAGTCAGTGTATTATGGACATCCATGCAATCAAAATTCCAGAGAGAAATTAATTGCCTGTGTAGGCCAGATACCTGAAGGTGTGCATCTGAAGTCATTGGAATAAAACCAAGTCAATGTTTTAAGTGCCTTTTAACTGATAACGTAACTATTTCATGAATACCTTAGGATGAACAGTGATGGTCCTTTAAAGCTTTGCTTCCTCTTCTCCCCACCAATAAAATACATCACTGAAGGCGTTTCCAGCACTATTCCCCAATGCCAAAGCCCATCAGAATGCAACAAGTTGTCCCAATGGGTCTATTCAGTGAGCACTCACATTGCAGTAGGTTTCAGAAAGCGTCATGGTAGGGAAGCAATGGTGGGCAATGCTCAAATGTAGAGGGTGTGTCCTCTCCCTGATGTCCGATAGTCTGGGAGTTGGCTAGTTCAGATGATGTTGGTAAGGAGCTAGGGAACCTTTCATCAACAACAGTGAACTCAAGTTACTACCAGGACAGCTCTTTGGTGACTTAGGTGCAATTGTTGATCTCCATACATTTTCTGGTGGACAGGAGCCCACAAACACAAAAAGATACCTCTAAGCACTAATTTGTATCCCTGTACTAAGGTGCAGCAAGAGGCTAAGGACTGAATAAGCATGGAGAATAAGTTGCCTTCTCGTACTAAGTGCACTCCCTCCATGTTGGAGATGATGCACGCTGGAGAGGTGCCTGTTCTGAGGATAAAGAGAGATCATCAGTCTCCAGGGTTGTCAAAGCACTAAAACTACAGAGAAGTACAGGCCTAATTCTCCTCATCTGGATGTAAAATAGAAGTAGGTATACTGAAGCCAATGGAATTACTTTGGGGTAAATGAGGAATTCTTTAATGGCTGGCTCTGTATGTACCCTGACTCACTCAAAGAGGTGTTGTCTGAACGTGCATGAGGAGAAACATCATTGACTGAAAAAACTGACTTACAGAAGATTAAAACAGCTAACAAAGTGCAGCTTGTATAAGGAGTGACTAAAGGTCTGGGAAAGGGGCACTGATATGAGAGTCTACCAGGTTTGAAAGGTGTAAATGCCCTCGTGGAAGAGAAGAAATTCTGCATGGTTCCTAGGGGAGTAATAGGAAAAGTTAGGCTAAACATCAAGAGTTACTCCTTGATGGTGCATGGCAATAGACTGAACAGTGTCCCATGACTGAAGCTGCACTTGGGATATTTAAAATATTTATTATTTATTTATCTGTACTGCATAGCAGCCAAAGGCTCCAGTTGGGATCATGGACCTGTTGTGACAGACACTGTACGTGTGCATAGCAAGGGAGACCCTGCTCCAAAGAGCTCACAGTCTAAATAGACAATAAAGCAAATGAAGGGAGGGGACCAGGGACAGAACACAAACTAAGCAGTTAGGGTGAGGACAGGCATATATGGGTCTTGCTAGTTCCCTTTTTAATTACCAGAGGTATCCGCTTAGAACTAAAATCTTTGTTTTCAAAGCTTCATCTTCTCCTGCTGCTTCATCCTCACCTGAAATCTTAATCCTCTTGTTCGTAACATCACAATCATTTCCAGTCACAAACAACAGGATTAGGACTTCAAATGAGGAGGGAGCTGCAGGAGTTTATGAACTGCTGTAATGGGACCTGGTCCAGATTCTTTTCTCAGCTTCACCGGGGTAACTGAAACGATGGGACTACACCGGTTGTGGCAAATCTGGAGTAACTGAGATTAGAACATGTTCAGAAATAATAAATGGGGGATGGGAAAAACCAGAAAATGCATCATGTGGGGAAGCAGAATTGTTTGTAGACGGAATGTTGATTTTCTAAGTCCTTCAGGAGGCAACAGCAGTTAGTTTGCTTCTAAAGAAATACCCCTCACAACTCTGCCCCTTTGGCAGCACAAAGTGGTATTCTGTGTCCAGGAGTGTGGGGGCAGCGTAGCAGATGCTATCCCTGTGCTAAGCCAGCTCTGCTAGCCAGTGTAAAGGGAATGGGCAGTGACACTCCCAGTTCTGGTGCTTAGGATTTTCCCCAGGATTGTCCCCGGCTCCCATAGAGGGGCGTAAAGGGGTTGTAATTTCTCATCCCTAACACACACCGGCACAGGGCCACGTACAGTCTTGCCCTGGGACAGAAGAGAAAGAAGACCATCGCGTCCACTCGGCATTTCCTTTCATGGAGATGGCTCCATGCCCGCCCTGTCTGAAGCATTGATGATTACAGCATGACTGTAAGAAAAGTAATTTCACAACTGAAATGGCCGGATAGCATACAGGACAAGGTAGTGAATACGGTGCCTAAGTTTCATTTTCAAAAGTGACTTAGGCTCCTAAGTCAATTAGGCATTGCAAGGCTGAGCAGAGTAATGCCAACATACCTTTAAATATCTGGCAATGAAAATAGAAAACCCAATAATAATGGGGGATTTCATCCCCATATTGACTGGGTACATGTCACCTCATGACAAAATTCAGAGATAAAATTTCTAGACACCATTAATGACTGCTCCTTGGAGCAGCTAGTCCTGGAACCCACAAGGGGAGAGGCAATTCTTGATTTATTCCTAAGAGAAGCACTTAGGATCTGGTGCAAGAGGTGAATATAGCTGAACAGCTTAGTAATATTGACCACAATGTAATTAAATTTAACATGGTTTATTTTGGGGGGGGGAGGGAGGAATACTGAAGAAACCTACCACAGTAGCATTTAACTTCATAAATGGGGATTACACAAAATTTAATTAGCTTTAAACAGAAATTAAAAGGAACAGTCATAAGATTGAAATGCCTGCAAACTACATGGAAACTATATAGAAAGCACCACAACAGAGGCTCAAACTAAATGTATACTCAAAATTAAAAACAAACAAACAGAAAACAGTAAGAGGACCAAAAAAACCAGCAGAGTAAAAAGTAATTAGAGGCAAAAAAGAATATTTTAATAATTGAGGAAAATAGAAAGGAACATAATGCAGGTCAAGTGACTTATGAGAAGAGGACGAGGGAACTGGGCTTACTTAGCCTGCAGAGAGAAGAGTGAGGGGGGATTTGATAGCAGCCTTCAACTACCTGAAGGGGGGTTCCAAAGAGGATGGAGCTCGGCTGTTCTCAGTGGTGGCAGATGACAGAACAAGAAGCAATGGTCTCAAGTTGCAGTGGGGGAGGTCTAGGTTGGATATTATGAAAAACTATTTCATTAGAAGAGTGGTGAAGCACTTGAATGGGTTACGTAGGGAGGTGGCAGAATCTCCGTCCTTAGAGGTTTTTAAGGCCCGGCTTGACAAAGTCCTGGCTGGAATGATTTAGTTGGTGTTGGTCCTGTTTTGAGGAGGGGGTTGGACTAGATGACCTCCTGAGGTCTCTTCCAACCCTAATCTTCTATGATTCTATGAAGTGTAAAAGTAAAATAAGGCAGGCCAAAAAATAATTTGAAGAGCAATTAGCAAAAGACACAAAAACTAACAGCAACGACAACAAAAAATTAAGTACATAAGAAGCAGGAAGCCTGCCAAACAATCAGTAGGTCCACTGGATGACCAAAATGCTAAAGGAAGACAAGGCCATTGCAGAGAAGCTAAATTAATTCTTTGCATTGGTCTTCACTGCAGAGGATGAGAGGGAGTTTCCCACAACTGGGCCATTCTTTTTAGGTACATATTGGAGGAACTGTCTCATATTGAGGTGTCCATACAGGAGGTTTTCGAACAAACTGATAAATTAAACAGTAATTAGTCACCAGAACCAGATGATATCCACCCAAAAGATACAAAGGAACTCATATATGAAACTGCAGAACTACTAAATGTGGTATATAAACTACCACTTAAATCAGCCTCTGTACCAGATGATTTGAGGATAGCTAGTGTAATGCTGATTTTTAAAAAGTTTCAGAGTAGCAGCCGTGTTAATCTGTATCCGCAAAAAGAACAGGAGTACTTGTGGCAACTTAGAGACTAACAAATTTATTTGAGCATAAGATTTCGTGGGCTACAGCCCACTTCTTCAGATGCATAGAATGGAACATATATTGAGGAGATATATATACACACATACAGAGAGCATGAAAAGGTGGAAGTTGTCTTACCAACTCTGAGAGGCCAATTAAGTAAGAGAAAAAAACTTTTGAAGTGATAATCAAGATAGCCCAGTACAGACAGTTTGATAAGAAGTGTGAGAATACTTACAAGGGGAGATAGATTCAATGTTTGTAATGGCTCAGCCATTCCCAGTCCCTATTCAAGCCTAAATTGATTGTATCTAGTTTGCATATCAATTCTAGCTCAGCAGTTTCTCGTTGGAGTCTGTTTTTGAAGCTTTTCTGTTGCAAAATTGCCACCCGCAGGTCTGTCATTGAATGACCAGACAGGTTAAAGTGTTCTCCTACTGGTTTTTGAGTATTATGATTCCTGATGTCAGATTTGTGTCCATTAATTCTTTTGCGTAGAGACTGTCCGGTTTGGCCAATGTACATGGCAGAAGGGCATTGCTGGCACATGAAGGCTCGAGAGGCAATCCTGGCAATTTCAGGCTGGTAAGCCTAATTTCAGAACCAGGCAAATTGGTTGAAACTATAGTAAAGAACAAAATTATCAGACACACAGATGAACAATATATGTTGGGGAAGAGTTGGCTGTTGTAAAGAAAAATCATGCCTCACCAATCTATGAGAATTCTTTGAGGAGGCCACCAAGCATGTGGACAAGAGTGATCCAATTGACACAGTGTACTTAAACTTTCAGAAAACTTTTGACAAAGTCCCCCACCAAAAAGCTCTTAAGCAATGTAAGCAAACATGGGATAAAAGGGAAGATACTCTCATGGATCAGTAACTGGTTCAAAGATAGGAAACAAAGGCTAGGAATAAATGGTCAGTTTTCACAGTGGAAAGAGGTTAATAGCAGGGTCCGCCAAGGATCTGCACTGGGACCTGTACTGTTCAACATATTCATAAGCAATCTGGAAAAAAGGGTAAACTGTGAGGGAGCATTTTTACAGATGGTACTAAATTACTTAAGATAATTAAGTCCAAAGCTGACTGTGAAGAGTTACAAAGGGATCTCACCAGTCTGGGTGATGTGGCAATAAAATGGCAGATGAAATTCAGTGTAGGTAAATACAAAGTAATGCACACTGGAAAAAATAATCCCAACTATACATACAAAATGATGGGGGTCTAAATTAACTGTCACCACTCAATAAAAAGATCTTGGAGTCATTGGGAATAGTTTTCTGAAAACATATATGCTCAATGTGCAGGGGCAGTCAAAAAGCTAACAACCTGTTAGGAACCACTAAGAAAGGGATAGATAGTAAAACAGAAAATATCATAAATGTCACTATCTAAATCCATGGTACACCCACACCTTGAATACTGCGTTCTGGTCACCCCAACTCAAAAAATATATATACCGCTACCTCGATATAACGTGACCCGATATAACACGAATTTGGATATAACGCAGTAAAGCAGTGCTCGGGGGGGGGGGGGGGGCTGCGCACTCCGGTGGATCAAAGCAAGTTCAATATAACACGGTTTCACCTATAACGCGGTAAAAAATTTTGGCTCCCAAGGACAGCGTTATATTGAGGTAGAGGTGTATTAGAATTGGAAAAGATAATGGCAACAAAAACGATTAGGGGCATGAACAGCTTCCATAGGAGGAGAGGTTAAAAAGACGAGGCCTGTTCAGCATAGGAAAGAGATGATTAAGAGGGGATATGATAGAGGCCTATAAAATCATGACTGGTTAGGAGGAAGTGAATAAGGAAGTGTTATTTACTCCTTCTCATAACACAAGAACCAGGAGTCACCTAATGAAATTAATAGACAGCAGGTTTAAAACAATCATAACAAAGTACTTCCTCACACAACGCATAGTCAACCTGTGGAACTTTTGTCAGGGGTTGTTGTGAAGACCAAGATTATAACAGGGTTCAGAAAAGAATTAGATAAATTCATGGAGGATAGGCCCATCAATGGCTATTAGCCAAAATGGTCAGAGATGCAACTCCATGCTCTGGGTGTCCCTAAATCTCTAACTGACCGAAGCCGGAATTGGAATAAGAAGGGATGGATCACTCAATAATTGCCCTATTCTGTGTATTCCCTCTGAAGCATCTGCCACGGGTCACTGTTGGAAGACTAGATGCTGGGCTAGACGGACCACTAGTCTGACCCAGTATGGTCATTCTTATGTTCTTATGAACCCTCATGATGTGCAGATGCTTCAACGGATTAACTTTATGAGCATAGTACTGTGGCTAAAATCCTTCTTTCCTTCCCTGCAGTTCAGCATTTCTACTTTTTATATTAGGGTAGAGTTTAAAGGCCCCAAGCGAGATTAGGCACCATACAGGCACATAATAGGAGACTGTGCCTAACCCCAAAAGCCTACAAATATATTGTGGTCTTTCCTACAGTGACCGCGTCTTTCCTTTTTTCTGTCAAGCACTTCTGGGTACTGTACAATAATAAATACCCCTACTAATAATGTAGATAAAGGGAGGTAGAATCCTGGTTTTCTTTTAGCCCTCAGTATCCTGCTGTTGCAATGACTTATATACACATCCCTTTAGATGGCAGATCACAATGGAGATTGCAATGAGCATCTGCTATTCCACCCACACTGGCTTGCAGAGGACAGGCCCCAGTAGTTTTTTTGAAAAGGAGTTTTAACCCCAGTGGCTGGTTACGTGTCCATGGCCTCAACTTCGAAATAGTTCTCTGAATTTCTATTATTGCACACGAGCTAAACAAATGTGTTGAAAACTGTCTGACTTAGCTTCACAAGTACATTGACAGAGAAATGTAGCAAGACCTTTAACAGCTGAACCATTGGGACTGAATCAGACAGCTCTAGGCTATGCCAATATACAACTGTGTAGATCTCTGTGTTTAGCGGTTCTGGAGCCATGCTACTCTGCCTCTTTTTTCTAAAACATAATAGATGCCTCCACTATGTTCTCTAAAATGGCCTGTAAAGTTGGGTATATGCTCTGCAGGGAATGAAATCAAAGTTCTCTCTTTATTCTCAGGCAAACTTGTCATGAGAGTAACACAGGAAACCTGTTGGCCTGTTTCTCACCTTCAAAGTTAGGTGCAACTCTTTGAGGAGCATAGAGTGAAGGGGAAATCATGTCCTCATATGTAGTTCCTCGTTGGTTGCAGGTTCTATGGATTGGCAGTCCCAGAGTTTTTCTTGAGTTTTGGGTACAAATCCAGGTGGAATCCACTTGAAACCAGGGCCGGCTCCAGGCACCAGCTTAACAAGCAGGTGCTTGGGGCGGCCAAGGGAGAGGGGCGGCACCTGAGGCAATTCGGGGGCAGCAGGTCCCTCACTCCCTCTAGGAGCGAAGGACCTGCCACTGAACTGCCGCCGCCGATAGCGGCTTTTTTTTTTTTCCCAATTGCCGCCGCCGATCGCGGCTTTTCTTTTTTTTTTGCTTGGGGCGGCAGAAATGCTGGAGCCGGCCCTGCTTGAAACTGAGGAATTGTATTTGGTTTGCCATCCAGATCATGAAAAACGGGGAGTTTTTTAAAGTGTGATGGAAACAATAAAACTGGGCCAGAATTGATCAGATCTGGGCCTAGGTATTTTGGCAAAATTTTGTGCAGCTTCTGATGAACCCAAGATGACTTTGGACTTTGTAATGAAACATAAAAAGCTTGGAAGTTACATAGGGACTGGAGTTTAGTTGCAAACATTTCACACCATATGTATGTGAGAGAAAGTGAGAGATTCTGTGTGTGTGTGTGTGTGTGTGTGTGTGTGTGTGTGTGTGTGTGTGT